ATGCATCTGAGTTACTGCCAGCTAGATATCTAACCAGATCTCGAGTAGCTTACTCACAAGCATCATCCCGAGGCCGTTGGAGATCCCCTCTGGAAGCAGGCCATTCCCAGCTCATGAGTTATGGGGGAGAGAGCCAGTTTCAGATGGTAAAACTCCTGTCTAAGTCTGAGTCCCCCGCATGGCTGCTGCCCCCCTCCTCCTGGGCAGTCTTAACTTATATAGCCCCTACAACCTCATTCACCTGGTCCAATGGAGGACAGCACCTGTTGGCTGTTGGCCCACCAGTTTGAAATACATCACTAGTTGCCGGGCAGACTCTAGCCCACCAGGTAGAAGCCCCTCACCCAGGTAGGTGATACCAGTCACGTAAGCAGAGGGAGCAGGACCCCCTCCCTCAGGAATGTAGCCAGCTCAGGTTACTTAAAGAGATAGGGTAAAGGTGTGTCTCCTCTGCTGGGCCCATTCTCATCACATTGTCACAGCACAGAGATTTTGGGGAGAAACAAAGGTGGCTTCCTGCCACACATACACATTTAGGGACGAGCAAGTTGCCACAGTCCATCCATCCCCTCCAGCATCCTCCAGTGTCGTTCCATGTTGGAGCAGAGCAGTGGAGCCACCACTCTAGGTTGCCACCTCAGCACTACCCAGCATTTGAAGCATTACAGGCTCATAGGCTAAACCACGCTGTGCCACCCTCTCCAGGTATGTGGCATCTGGACAGAGGAAAATGTTTTCCTACCAGCATTCAACTCAGAGCCTGTGGCACAAGGTTGGAGTCACCCTCCCCTTCCATCCCCTCAGCAGCCTAGTGACAGGGATTGTGTCCCAGTATCCCACCAGTTATAATCCACCTGTGGGTTGTGACTCTGGTGGGTATTTTCATGACAGCTCCACAGTCTTTCCCATTAGCTTTGGCCAAGCCACTCCCAGTAGCCAAGCCCTTTGCTCCTTTCTGTATTTGCTTGGCCCCTGGGGTCAGTTTCCATTGAAGCCAATAGGAGATTTTCCTGAGCAAAGAGGACAAAGTCAGTAAAGACCATTGGAGACCAGCTCCAGGCTGCTTAGCCCAAAGAGGCACTGCAGACTCACCTGTAGTGAGGTGCAGGGTGCAACTGGGAGATGCCATAGACTAGACAGTCCTTCCCAGAGCCTGAAGGCTTTCTCTGGACACCATGGGGTTCTGAACTGCAGCCCTGGCAACACACCCAGTGCTTTGGCTGTTGCTCTCAGTGCTGCCCACATCCTCTTAGGCATTGACAGGCAGGTTGAGAAAGGCCTTTGCCCACCAGGGAAGACTCAGGAGGCTCAGCCACTGGCTGGCACAATCACTTCTGTGGTTGTGTTGCCCTGTCCTTGCTGCCATCTGCACATGTTGTGAGAGCCTTGCTGTAGGGACAGGTCTGTGCTTTCAGCTCTGCACTCAGTCATTGGTTCTGTCTCCTGCAAAAGTATCCCTGTGGTCACCACCCTCTGACCAGATCATTGCCTGGCCCTCAGGAGGGCCCCTCTTGGCTTGGAAACCAGCACATGGCCCAGGGCTGATCGGGCAAACAGGCAACTGGTGGTGGTCATAGCACTGGGAGGGCTCTGAATCTTTACTACTTACCTTCCATCCAATGTCCTGAGCCTGCCAGCTCTGCAAGATGGAGCATTCTCCTTTTATAGAGGCCCAGAGCAGTGATTTGCCCCTGGTCACTCAGGCAGGGTCAGAACAGAACTGGGAACCCACAACTCCTGTGTGTTAACCTCTGGGTTGCACTTCCTTTGCCTAACTCACCTTCCCTCAGCCTGGGGGCCCCGTGGGACCCTGAACACCCAGGCATGCTCAGTCTGCGAAGCCTGGGCTCTCAGCCTTGCTGTGCCTGCTCTGAGCCTTACACCTTCTGGAATGTCTCTTGCAGGCCATCTTAGCTGCCATCATCATTGTGAACCTGAAGGGCATGTTCAAGCAGTTCAAAGACCTCTCTACCCTCTGGAAGTCCAATAAAGTTGACCTGGTAAGACACAGAAGAGGCCTGAATGCACCTCAGGCCACCAACCCAATTCTTCTTGCCCTGCTGTCCCTTTGTGGTGGGCTGATGCAGCAAGGCTGAAGGCCAGGCCTAAAGGCCCTGATGAGCTGCACTGGCAGGAGGTCCAGCCAGCTCTGTACAGCTCTTCAGGAGTACACAAGGCCCCACTGGGCTCACGTGGTGGGCAGTCCTGCAGTCTGTGCTGTGGGCTGAACACAGCCTCACAGTATCAGGCAGTAATCCCCTATCAGAGCATGTGTTGGATCAACTGAGAACATGATTTGGGCCACAGAAGCCTGGCCCTGGGCTCTGAACTCATGCATGATGAAGACTGGGTTTGGAACCTCACAGCTCCATCAGGGAACCCAGGTGTGGACCCAGCTCAGGCCCATCTCTGCTTGTAGCATCCCTGGCAGGTTTTGAGCAGGGAACTCATCCTCAGAGCACTGAGGCTGCTGGTGGGTGCTGTAGTATCTTTGTGTATCAGAGGAAATGTGTGTGGGAACTGTAAGGTAGTGTCAGCTTTGGCTCTGATGGCCAGAGAGAGGTAGCTAGTGAACTTCATGCCTGCATAGTCTAAGTCTGGTACCAGCTGGCTCCTTTTCCAGCACTCACATTGTACTGATCTCTTGCAGCTGATCTGGGTTGTGACTTTTGTGGCCACACTCCTGCTGAACCTGGACATAGGGCTGGGGGTCTCGGTGGCTTTCTCACTGCTCACAGTCATCTTCCGGACACAGATGTAAGTAGCATGGTGACTACTGGGGCCAGGCAGGAGAAGGGAAGGAGCCAGCTTGGCTATAGTCAGGGTTGGTATCCACAGCTCCACAGGGCAGGAGATTTGCCATGAGTGTCAGTTGTGGGGCTCCAGGAGCTGGTTACAGCCCTGTGCTTCCACCACGATGCAGGTGATCCAGGAGCATGGGACCCAAAGACTTGGCCCATGCCCTGCTCATCCTCATCAAACCTGTGGCCATCCTTTGTTTGCCACCCCCTGGCTGTGATGCTGTCCCACGTCCTAAGGCTTATGAGGTGGCCTGAAGATTCTGGGAGTCCCATGAGAGCTCGAGTGGAGGGTGGCAGGCTGGCCTCCATGCTCTCAAGATGCTGTAGTTAGGTGTGCTGGTGTTAATGTGGGGAAGGGGGTTTGCTCTGACCTTCTCTGGGCAGAACTAACTCCCACTAGATTGAGCTCAAAGCAGCCTTGTCCTGGGATTTAGATATATTAGGAAAACACAGTGGCCATGTAAACCTCAGCCTGAACATCCTTCTTGAGGGCTACCTGCAGACACTTCCTTCTCCTAGGCCCCAATTCCTTCTAGTCCATAAAATTACACCTCAGTCCTCCCCAGGGGGAGCTAATGGGCCACACCTGATCCTGGGGGTTACTAGCCATCTGGCATGCACTGGCAGAGTGGGCCAACAGCAGCACTGTTTCACTCTGCTCCAGGGCATCGTTCTGAGGGGACATCTGCCTTGTGGGGTCCAGCCAGGAGTTATATGTCATGAAGCAAGGCAGAGTGAGCTTGCTGTAGGGCACTGGCTGAATGCTATGGGTTGCTATCATGCCCTGTGGTGGGGTCATGGGTGAAAATGGGCTGACTGAGCCTGGCATTTTGCTGAAGTAGCCTAGTTCCGGCTTGGCACCGTTTTCTTCGGGCAGCAGTGACACCTGGATCTGACTCAAAGCACTGACCTGTGTCATGCTGGCACCACTACAGTTCTCACTTTGGCAAGGGGATAAAGAAACACAGCATGCAACTGTCTGGAGGGCTTTGCAACTTGTCACGAGAAAGCCCTGGCAGGTTCATCCCTCTATCAGGCCAAGCAGCAGAGGTGCTGGGATCATGTTGTCATGATAATACCTGCCTAAGAAAGGCTGCACTCCTGAATCTGTGTGGGGAGTTTGCTCCAGCTCCTCAGTACCTGCCGGCAAGAGGGGCCAGACCAGCATGGAAGCAGGCTTCTATTGCCAGTGGAAGGTGGCTGTCCCAGGTGGTTACAGAGCCACTACTCTGCACAGACAAGTCAGTCCTCAGTTCTGTAGTGACAGGGATTTGTGAGGTGAGTCTTGCTCTGAGCTGAGCATGGGCAGTGCTCCAAAAAATAGCAGGCTCTGAGTGAATGGATTTCTTGGTGCCACCGATGTCACATGCCATTTTCTGCCCCACAAGTATATACAGAGGAAAGAATATAATTTGAGCCCTTGTGGAACAGGGCATGGGGGTCGTGGACACCATTCAGCATGGCTGGCCAAGGCCATCCGCAGCCCTGTGGCAGGACTGTATCAGGATGGCCCACCTCTCATTACGTCATCTGTGCTGCATGGCTTCACCATGAGGCTATTGACCATCTCACAGGGTGGTGTTCTGCATGTAGGGCCCACCACCACTCCAGAGAGACACCTGGTGCCTTTGCTAATCGCTCTCCTCTGTTTTTCCTCAGGCCCCACTACTCCATCCTCGGGCAAGTTTCTGAGACAGACATCTACAGAGATGTGGCTAAATATAACAAGGTAAAAGCCAATGGTAGGAGGGTTGAGGGAGTGGCTGTGAGGGACACTCCACTACTGAACAAGGCAAACCAAGATAGTGAGGGGACAAACATGTCATGAAGAGCTAGGAACACGGGCCTTCCATGCAGCTGAGATGAGTCAAAGGAACAGTCCCTTCTGCTCTTTTGTAATGGCTTGTGAGTGTTTGGCCTATCGTGACTGGATGCAGCTTTCCCTTCCTGCTGAGGTCAGGGAGATACCCTTGTTTACAGCGTGGTGCTGAGACATTCCCAGTCCCTGAAAAGTGAGTTCCCTGCTTGAGCCCAAATGCAGAAGATATACTGATGGGTAGGGTGGCCATCATAGAGGACATTTTGGTTTTCTGCTACTCTATTGATACGAAACCCGAAGCCTTTATGTTCTTCTCTTCAAGAGAAAAATAGAGGACATAAAGGCATCCGCTTTCATATCAATAGAGGACAGAGGACAACCGGACTGTCCTCTATGATGGCCACCCTACTGATGGGGTGTAGGGGACAAGCAGGGTGTGAAGGAGGCAAAGGCCAAAGAAGGCCTGGGGGAAAGCAAGGAAGAGGAGGGGAGCTCCTCTCTGTCACAGTTGTAGCTCTTCCTCTCCCTGCTGACCCCAGAACAGCCCTCTCCCCTTTGAGGCAGAATCCCTTTCATAGTGACCTCTTTCTCTCTGTTCCCAGGCTGTGGAAATCCCTGGTGTGAAGATTTTCCGCTCTTCTGCCACAGTCTATTTTGCGAATGCTGAGCTTTATACAGATGCCCTGAAGAAGAAGGTGAGGCAGGAGAGGGGTTGAGCTCATCTGGCCCATTTCAGGGCAAGATCACCCGCTGAGTGGTCTCTGATGCACTGGCCAGGTCATCTGGGGGTGGCTTGCTCTGTGTTAGTTGAGGGAGCAGCCCAGATCTGCAGTCCTTGCCCAGATCTGCTTTAATGGTGCAGTGTACAGGCTCTCCCCTTCTCACCCCCAAGGCAGCAGACCTAGGTATGTGCTGTTACCATTGTGTCCAAGCACAGCGGTGGCAGAATTAACCCCCACGGCTGCAGGCCTCCTCCCATACACACACTGACTTCTGCACTCCAGAGTCTTGAGTCTCCCTGCATTTTGGTTCTTAGCTATTTCTGTCTGCTCCATGCTGCCGGAAACTATTTCTTCCAAAGCCTTGAGCCTCCACTGCTTGTGTTCCAGCATGCCTGCTTAGCCAGCACCCAGTGCTCATGCCCCACCTCACCCACCACTAGCAGCTAATGCCACTTAAGTGGTACTAGTTACACTACTGTGTCTGAGCATCTCAGTCACCAGAAAGATTCTCCTCACACTCACAGCACCCTCTGAGATGGAGAAGAGCTGAGGTACAGACCCAGAGTCACACATAGAAGCTGTGGCAATGCTTGGAGTTGAACCCACATCTCCTGCCTCCCAGGCCAGCACATTAATTGGTCAGAAACTCCTGCTCTCTGTTTCTGAAGTGAATTGGTGTTCAAAGCCTTCCCCTCACTAGAAGCCAGAGGAAGGATGGAGAGTGAGTGAGATCAGTTCTGTTCAGGGCCTCTCAGCAGTCCCTTGAGCTTCGGTAGCTTCCAGGTCCCATGAAGTTGTGCCTTTGCAGTGCGGCTTCGATGTTGATCGCCTCATTGAGAAGAAAAAGAAAGCCCTCAGGAAACTGAAGAAGCATCAGAAGAAAATAGAGAAGGAAAAAGAAAAGAGGGAAAAAGCAATGAAGAAAAAGGTACTTCTCTGACAAATGCCTCAGAACTGTGCTTCCTTCTGTGACTCTCCCCATTGGTATCCCTTTCTCCTTCCTTCCATCCACCTGTTCATCCCATTGTTTCCTTGTTTCATTTTCTTCCTCATGCCTCTTTCTCTCTTTCTACTCCCCCTTCCTAGATCTAACTTGATTTCCCTCTGTCCTACTCTTCTCCTTCTCGCTCTTTATCCCTTCCCTCTACATATTTCTGGTTCTCAGATGGCCCCATACTGAAAATGTCTGATTTCTTTCTCTTTGGCCCCTAATGAATGTTCCTTTGTCTTATGACTGTAACCCCTAGGTGAGGGAAGGAATCACAGGCCCTGTCAAAGGTTACAAGGTGGGAGGCAAGGGTGGTTAATAATTAAATTATATAACTTTATCAGCAGTTGGTAAGTTGAATCATAAGAATAACAATAAAAGGGCAAAGGATGATTGTAACAAGGTGTACGGCTCAGGGGCAGAAGCCTAGCTGCAGGGGTTAGAGGATAATAGCCTACCTGCCTAGCAGCACTGGGCCAGCTGACGGGGATGATTGACTGGCCGTGGAGGAAGTTAAAAGCTCCCAGAGAGATGATGCTGAGGAGGAGGAAACCTGAGAAGAAAGGCACTATAGTGAAGCCCTTGCCCTGGATAGGAGAGGCAGGAGATTTTGTTGATGTTTTGTTACTCTGTTTAGTTTGAGGTAGGAAAGGGGGAAAGCTGACTCCTGGGCTAGGCTAGAGGAGTAATGCCCTGCTACACATGGTGGAAAATGTTGGGCATTCTAAGTTTAACTCCAGTAATGGAGACAGGAGCCCTGCTAAAATGGCTGGAGGGGCTGCAACAGCAACAACAGCAGCTGTTTCAGCACCTCCAACTCCAGCAGCAACAGTTCCAGAGGGAGCAGCAGCAGCAGTGACAGGAGTCCCTAAAGCAGCATTTGGAGTCAAGACAGACTCCCACGCAAGTTGGTGAGTCACTTATGGTTCCCAGAGGATAGAAGGTAGAGTACTCACCAAGGACCTGCAGATGATCCAAAGGCCTTCCTCACAACTTTTGAATGGATGGCAGAGGCCTATCAGTGGCCCCAGGATGTGGCCCCTCTGTTAACTGGGAAGCACAGGACCCTTACCAGGTCCTAGGAGCAGATTCAGCCTGGGATTATAAAACCCTTCAAACTGCCATACTAGACCAGCTGGATCTCTCAGAGGAGGTCTATCACTATAAATTTCAACTGGAGACTTGCGACCAGAGTGCATGGCTTTGAGCCATGGCTCGGAAATTAAAGGACTTGTGCACCCACTGGCTAAACCCTGACTCACAGTCAGCCGTGGAAATAGTGGAACTGGTGACCCTAGAGCAGTTCTGTGCCATCCTCCAGTAGGATCCTGGAAATGGGTGTACTTTAGCACTTGAATGTTTGGCACTGGGTGATCAGCTTGGAGGAAGCCACCCAGAAAGTCGAGGACTTCATAGGGGCAGAGTTAGACTGCTTGGATCCCTTGGAAAGCCAGCAGGTCCCAGGACCAAGGAAGCTTGGTCTGTGGAGGAAATGGGCAGGGTCTTTAAAGAGGCCTCTTGCAGGAGTGTTACCTCCTTCTGCTCTGAGACCCCAGCCAGGGGGAGGGCTCCTTGAGTGGCCTCTCCAGAGAAGGTGGCCACCTGTGATATCTTTGCAGTACAGGAGGAGGCAGGGATGCTCTGATAACTTGTTTCCAATGCAGGGAGAATGGTCGTTGATATTGGGGCTGCCCTCAGATGGACTGTGGATATGCCCATGCCTGTGTCTTGGAATCGTGGTGGGAGAGCTCAGATCAGAAGGGACATGTGGTCCCACTTAAGATGAGGGATGTCCATGTTGTAGGGTTCATAGACTTGGGCTCTAGTCAGACCCTTGTCCATGAGCAATGTGTGAATACGACAGACATCCCAGTCAATTAGTGTGTTTATGTCATGTATTCATGGAGATACCCAACCATACCCCATAACATGGGTGAGCTTGACCATTGTGGGACAAGAAGTTAACATGACAGCTTATGGCCAGCCATCTAGCTTATCCAGTAGTGGTGGGATAAAACTGGGGCTTGATGGCCAAATTGTTGAGATTGGCTTGAAGAATTGACAGAAGCCAGGCTGACCCCAATTCCACTGAGCTAGAGCTGGGGGAAATATTTCCCTTCTCTGACCCTGAACTCTTTGGATATCAACCCAGATCACACCAAGAGCAGCAGCAGGTCAGACGGGAGGCCTTCTCAAGCCAGAAGAAATACTTGAGGAAAGGAATTTGGGGTTCAATATAATCTGGACTGTCCTCCAGAAGATTCAGAGGGTCAGGATACCCCAGGAGCTCCTTGGGAGGTTGGACTGGATCAGGCTGGGGAGAAGTCTGGATTTCATTTGTGATCAAAGGGAAGACCCTGTATATGCTCCTCTTTATGACTGATTGGGTCAGGCCAATGGGGTCATAGTACATGCAAGCTTAACAGCTTAGGGCTTCCATTTTGAGTTATAGGGCACCTCTTGATGAGAGTGACCAAAGACAAGGCCACAGGAAACTGGCAGTCCAAACTATTAGTGCCAAAGGAGTACCACAGCCAGATTCTGAAACTAGTCCACGATGTACAATGGGGAGGCCTTTAGGGGATAGAAAAGATCCAGGATAAGAGTTCTGGTAAGGTTTTTATGGCCTGGGGTATATCAAGAAATCAAGGATATACCAAGAAATCAAGGACCATTGTGCATCAAGCCCTAAAGGCCAGCTGGTTGTTCCCCCACCCCACCCATAAGGCCTGACTGGTGCCCATCCCCTTGGTAAGCATATCCTTTGAGCAGGTTGGAGTGGACTTGGTGGGACTACTGGAGCCCAGCTCAAGAGGGTCCAAGTTCATCCTGGTCCTTGTTGACTATGCCACCCGCTACCCTGAGGCTGTGGTGAGCCACTTAGCTTCAGCACAACCTGTGGCCTCTGAGCTATTACAGAGATTCTCCTAGGTAGGCAGTCTCTGGGATGTTTTGACTGACTGGGGCACAGTCTTTATGTCCCAATTATTGCAAAAAGTTTGGGGTTTATTGAAGGCCTGTTCTGTAAAGACTTCAGTGTACCATCCTTGAACAGAGAGATTAGTCAAAAGATTTAACTGGACACTGAAGGGGATGTTGAGAAAATTTGTCTTGGAGGAGCCTCAGAATTGGGACCAGTTATTATCATACTTACTGTTCGCCATTCAAGAGGATGCACAGTCTTCCGTGAGCTTTTTGCCCTTTGAATTATTGTATGGGAGGCAGCTCCGGGACATGTTAGATCTTTTACAAGAATCCTGGCAGGATCAGGGGAAAACAACACAGACTATAGTCCACTATGCCCTGAAGCTATGGGAAAGACCAGACCTGATAGGTGCCCTTGCAAAAGAATCTCAGGGCTGCACAGCAGGTACAGGAACCAGCAACACAATAAAAATGCCCAGACCTGGTTTTATCAACCAGGGGATAGAGTGTTACTACTTCTCCCCTCCTCAGAGAGTAAGTTGCTGGCTAAGTGGAAAGGCCCTTTTGAGGTCCTCTGATGGTAAGCAAGGTAAATTATGAAGTTTGCCTCAGAGGGAAATGGTAGGGTTCACATCAACCTGCTGAAGCCTTGGAGGGCCTGAGAAGCCAGTATGGTCTCTACATGTTTGCTGGGACTTGCCCTGGGGATTCTAGATCCCTTTCAGAGCCAATGGTTGGCCTTGTGCTAGGGGAGCCTTTGACCCCAACTCAATGGGCTGAAGTAAAAAGCCTATTCAAGGAATTTAAAGAGGTGTTTAGTGATTCCGGATAGAACTACACTGATTGAACACCAGATTATCTTCAAGCTGGACTGTGCAAATCAGAAGGGATACTCAAGAGCTCCAGCACAGCAGAGGGAAACATTAGAACAAGAAATTAAGAAGATGCTGGACCTAGGGCTGATAAAAGAATCTGCCAGTGAGTGGAGTATTCCAGTTGTTTTGGTGCCAAAGCTGGATCACACCATCTGATTTTGTTTTGATTTCCATAAAGTCAACACCGTTTCAAAGTGTGATGCATATTCTATGCTCAAAATAGATAAAATGGTGGAAGGAATAAGCAACACAAAGTATATAACCACTCTGGATTTAACCAAAAGGTATTGGCAAATACCTCTGGACCCAGCATCCTGAGAAATCACATCCTTTGCAACACCTTGTGGACTCTACCACTTCCAGACTCCACCTTTTGGTCTCAATGGGGGCCCTGTGACTTTCCAACTTCCAGTGGACAAAATACTCTGCCCACATTGGGCGTATGAGTCCGCCTACCTGGACAATGTACAACACATGGGTGGAATACCTCCAGTGGGTGAGACAGGTGCTGCAGTCAATACAAGTGACTGGCCTCACAGTCAACCCTGCTAAATCTCACCTGGCATGCATGAAGACTAGATATTTAGGATATGTACTGGGCAATGGCAAGATCAGACCCTGCGTGGACAAAGTAAAGGCCATGGTGGAATCTCCAGTGCCAGCAACCAAATGGCAGGTGAAATCATTTTTAGGGTAAGTGAGCTACTGCTGGTGATCCATCCCACAGTTTGCTGCCATTACAGCCCCACTAACTGACCTGCTATGGAATGGAGCACCTCAAAGGATCCAGTGGTCACCCAAGTGTGAGGCAGCATTTGGGACAGTAAAATGGCTACCATACAGTGCACAGGTCGCACGCAGCCCAGACTTAACAAAGGAGTGCATATTACAGGTGGATGCCTAAGAGCAAGACTTGTCCCAGAATATGAAGATGAAGAACACCAGCAGGAAGCTTCTACCCCAAGAGCAAAAATATGCTGTAATAGAGCAGTGTCTAGCAATTAAGTGGGCATTTGAGACCTCTTGGAGGCCCACTTTCCATTGGTGGCTGATCATGCCTCTTTAACATAGCTTAATGCTATGCAGGAGACCAACCTGGACGTCATCAACCTGGTTGATGACCTGTCCACGCACCCTTTTGATTTTTCAATGTGCCACCACCCTAGGATTGCAAATGTAAATGCAGACTTCTTCTTCCAAGATGGGGACAAGGGGAGGGAAGGAGTTAAAAATGGAAGAATGTATCCTGGGCTCCACTCTTGGGAGGGGGGATCATAACAAGGTGCATGGCTCAGGGGTAGAAGCCCAGCTGCAGAGTGTTAGAGGGTACTAGCCTGCCTGCCTAGGAGCACTAGGCCAGCTGATGGGGATGATTGGCTGGCCCTGGAGGAAGTTAAAAGCTCCCAGAAAGATGATGCTGGAGACGAGGGAAGCTGAGAAGAAAGGCAACAGTGCAGCACTATAGTGAAGCCCATGATGGCCTGGATAGGAGAGTCGGGGGGGGGATTTTGTTGATATTTTATTATTGTGTTTTATTTGAGGTAGGAAAGGGGGAAAACTGACTCCTGGGCCAGGCTAGAGGAGGAAAAACCTACTGCAATGATCCTAAGATTTCCATGTCTAATTTTAGTACCAGAAAAAAATTATTAGAGATAGATTAGAGAGACTTTTACAGCCCATATCTAGACATGATGTGCTGGGAAGAGGCCAGCAAACATTATATGAAAAAACATGCCTCTCTATTCTAGGGACAGAGCCAAAAAAAGGACATAGGTGGCTTAAATGGGATATTGGCTGAATTACATGGCTAAATCCAAAAGTGCAATGCTGAAAACCCTGCTCAACTATCCCCTAACCCTAAACTCCGCAGGTGCCTGAGTCACCTGAAGTGAAGGAGTTAGGCACCTGGATTTATCAGGAACTGTCCCAGCTTTGATCAACACCTCTCAATGCATAATGACAGTCATAAAATCAAATAATATCTGCAGAATATTACCCTAGCCACTCAGCAGCTGGCTAAGGGTAAAATCTTTCCAGGGCAGTTTGTTCCACAATGAGCTGTTATAGTGATTTCCACTTTCCTTTCACTGGCTATGGTTACTGGATCAGATGAGCCACTGGAGGAAACCAAGCTGTGTCTTTATGATGTTTCATGTTACGTCCCAAACTGCTCTCTGCTGATTGGCCTGGCTGAGGGTGATGAGTGCTGTGGGCTGCACTCAGCCCTCTATCACTTCTCTGTTGCCAACTAGCTTTGACAACAAAAGACTGCTCCCAAGATCTTGAAGGCATCTGACCCTAAGAGTGATGATCTGTGGGTGGAGACTGGGACACACATTTACTGTGTGATCTTTAAGGCCCGAAGTCCTTGCCTGCCTGTGCTCAGGGAGCCTGACATAGGCTGCATGTCCCAGTCAGATTTTAAGCCCTTGACTCACTGTACCATGCACACAAAGCCTCCTCAGCCAACTTCAAACATCTGCCAGTCTACCTCAAACTCAGCTGATCTCCTCCCTAGACAGGTGGGGAGTAACATGTGTCCTGGAGCTCTGCCAGACTTGAACAAGGCCAGTACCCCTCTGTCTCTGTATGGCATCTCACTGTAAAGCCTTGCTTTTTACCTGTGGAAGCAGATATTTTCCAGATTGCTTTGCTGCTGCTGCTTCTCCACTCCTGTTAGCTGAGATATTCCCCTGGGAAATTAGATGAAAGGCCCCATGCTTTCTTCCCTACAGAACGCAGACAGTGATTGCAATGGAGCTGGCATCTCAGTAATAGACATCAATGGAGGCGTGACAGAATGGGAGTCCCAAAATGGCAATCCCCTGCCGGACCGTGGTGAACCCACCCTGGTGTCTCTTGGCCTCCAGAAGCCTGAGCTCCACACTGTCATACTGGACTTCAGCTCTGCCAACTTTGTGGACTACGTCTGCATCAAGATCCTAAAGAACGTAAGGGCCAGGCAGGGAGGCAGGGAAAGGGGAGGGCTCCCACAAAGGACACACCTCTGAATTGTGACTTCTGCAGAGTTCTGGAGAACGAGAGCTTTGTTACATCCTGGGATGGGTGAAAAGTGCTTGCCTCAGCAATTTTCCTGTCCCCTTCGTAAAAGACTTGTCAGAGCCTGGCTCCAACTTTCAACACACCACAGCCATCCCCATCCCCACCCAGGGAGCCAATCCTGTCATTCATCATCCCTCTCTCTGAGTCATTTCCATCTGTAACAAAAGGAAGTGGGATTTCCAGTTTACACACCTGCTCCCTTGCACTGCCATTTTAAAGGCTTACCCAGAGCTGCTGTTGTCACCTGGGTATGAACATGTCCGGATTAACCTTTGTTTGCCCTAGGCAAGCAAACTTATGGGCCCCTACTTAATACTGTATATTTATATTTTTTCACTCAATAATTATACTATGTAAAATAAGCACAGCTGGGCCCCTTCTTCATTTAGGGCCCTAGGCATGTGCCTAGTTTGCCTATGCATCAATCTGGCCGTGGGCATGAGGCTGGAATGGATCTTTCATGTCCAACTGCTCTTTAACCCACTGGGGATCTGCTAGAGATGAAAAGCTATTCCAGTGGCATCAAAAAGCAGGTGGCACAAAAGGGCCAAGGGGATATCTGGGGTGGGCAACTGGCAGTCACTTTGTGCTTTATGCCATCCTGTTGACAAGGTGGCTGTGGGGCATGTGGCACAGCCTTGGCCACCTGCTGTGAGTCTTAACTCTCCTCTTTGCTTGATGTCCTTTGCAGTTATTCCGGGATTTCCACGAGATCGAAATAGATGTGTTGCTTGTTGGCTGTCATGGTAAGAAGGCTGCAGAGGTCAGACTTAGCAAAGCCACAGACCTTCATGTTTGTCAGCAACATGTCCCTGCAAAGGGGTGCCTTGGGCCTCACTGATATCCCAGTCTGCACACCTCTGGGGCCAGTCATGAGAGCCGGTTCCACCATCTGCTGTTCCACCTCAGGCATTGCCCAGAGGGAGACAGCTTGTGGAAGTACTTCTACCTAAGGGAGATGACCAGTGTTCAGTTCTATGTAAGAAAATTCAATCTGGGGTTAATTCAACTGGATTTGGGTTGGTGGAAGAATCTTGCCCAAGGCTGGTTCAGGAAATCAGCCAAAGCCCCTTCCCACAGGCAGGAGTCCCTGGGGTTCAATGTCAGGTCCTACTTGTACCCTAGGACATGACACCAGGTGACCATCCCCAGATCCCAGCACAAATTTTACTCGCCAGAGCAAAGGATTCAAAAGCCAGATTGTTAAGACAAAAGGGGAGAGCCTGTTCTGAGCATGGGGTGGAGTGGGGGTGCCACAGATGGGCCTCTTGGCCTGTCTTCATCTTCGTTAATCAGGGTTTCTCAGTGCTATCAAAACTCACACTTCTCCCCACAGAGTCCATCATAACCCAGCTAGAACAAGGCAACTTCTTCAGTCAAACCATCACCAAGCACCAGCTCTTTGCCTCAGTGCACGATGCTATTATCTATGTCACCAAGCTGCGGGGATCGAGTCCACCAGAGCCAGTTATGGTAATTGCTCAGCCTTTTGCCTCACTTCTAGGAAATTGGTCCCCTTGATGATCTAAGTGGGAAAGCAGCTTTAGTTCCCAGGTTTGGTCACATTGGCTGCCACCTTTCTGCCAGGCTTGTGTGTCTCTTCCAACTACACCAGCTAGATCAGCAGCCTTCTCCCATCAGCTATGGTAACATGCCTGCTCCTACCCAGCCAATATGTTCTGATCACCTATGTCCCCAACCCTGCCCACAGTTGACAGTTCACCAGTCCTTTTTTCAGTTATGCTGGTCCTTACTAACTCCATCCCATCCAGAGGGCCCAGCACACATACTGCCATACTGAGAAAACATTCCAGTGCCTTGAGATCCTGCATGGACAAGAGTGAGGGGCTTGCAGGGGGGAAAGCAGGACCTGTAGCAGTGAGAAAGCCAGGAGGTTGGGGAAGCAAAACAAAACCAAAGAAAATCATCTTGTTGTTTGACTCTTTAGACTTTTCCCAGCACTCATCTGTAGCCATCATGGCATCCACCCTCCCCAGAAGCACAACAGGTGAGAGGGAGCCATCAAGGTATGTTTCCAGAAGATTATTTGAGCTGGTTGATGTTTGCAAGGGCAGGTGATGAGAAAATCCTGCCATCAAAGACCAAAGATCGCCTGTTGCTGAGCATCTGCTTCAGACCCTAGAAATCTTGGATCATCTACCCTTGGGAAACCACTTCAGTCACCAGAGCAACTGGGAAACTACCTCAAAACCCTCCTTCAGCTGGCCATCTACTTGATGCTGGAGAGACCTGGGATCTCCTGGGCTCAGGGCACAAGATCTCCTACAACTGGGAATCCCCTCAGACATGGGGAGCTTGTCTGGCACCATGTGTGTCACTTTTTTGGGGTGCAGCATGAGGAGAAGAGAAGCTGCACCTCTGACGTGACTTTGGATACATGGTGCTTTAGAACAGCTCCACTGACTGTCTGGGAAACTCTCGACAGAGAGCAATACTGAAACACCATGAAGTCTGGGGCCTGCCTAGCCACATCCATCTCCCCATTTCCTTCTCACTTGCCTCTCTTATATTGTGGTTATCATGACCACAGCCAGAAACTTGACTTCGCCATGTTGTGTGAATATGTACAGAGTTTATTGAAGAGCAAGAAAACATTCAGATAAGGGGTCATGCTTAGGGTTATTTATTATCAACTCACTGTGGTGAATGAGACAATCATGAAATCATATACGCCAGGGAAGGAAAAATGTAATAGCTCAGCCATAAGCAACTGGTAGGGGAGCATGTGCCCCCCTGAGATTGGCTGTTGCCGGCTTCTGCGGGCAGTCACCTCTTGCCACCCTGCCACCGCTGCTGGCTTCTGTGAGCAGTTGCTGCTCACCATATTGCCACCACTGGCTTCTGCAGGTGTTTGCCGCTTGCCACACTTCCGGCTGCTGCGGGTGGTCACTGCTCACCACCTCCCTCCACCACTGCCACCAGCTTCTGCAGGCAGTCGCCGCTCACCACCCCGCCGCCAACACTGCCACCCACAAACTGTGTCCCCCCAGTCTTAGGAGGCACCTGTCACCCATGAGCTCAGCTACCCTCTGCAGGAACATTTCCTAGTGAGTAGTTTCAAGGGTGCACAGCTAGTAAATATGGGACTAGAAAAATGTTTTTAGCACTTGAATAGCCTGTTTGATCTGCCGCAATGTCTGCAGACACAGAATTAGTTGTGATTTTCTGGTATCTAAGCTGAATTAATGTTGCATATCGAGGACTTAATTTTGTAACATGATCCTGATTTATTGTTTCTCAATAAATGTGTTTTTACTCAAAGCATCTCTTTGTTGTTTCCTAACAACTGGCATATTTCCAACCTAAGACTCTGTGCCCATTTATGAGAATTTCATTTGACCCAATCATTAGAGCCACTCACTGCCGTTTCATGATGTGATTCATACTAAGCCCAGTATTACTCTACCAGTCCTCTCTCAATACCTTGTGAAGCTGCTTTGCTAGGTGGAGTGAGGGGCACTCCTGCTCTGGGCAACCATGGCAAAAGGCAGAATGCAACAGGGCATGAGCAATCGGATAAAATAGGAAATAGGTGTGTGGAACTCAAGCTGAACCAAAGGGTTGGCGTAGAGCATCATGCCAGAGCCTCTCTCTGCCTGGCCCCAGTGTTGACTGTGCACTTTACCTCATTCAAAGGCAGCTCTTTGCACGCCTGGCCAATTCAATTGTCTGTGCAACAGTCTGCAATGTGATGCAGACAAGGGCAGGTGCAGCAGCAGCCTTTCCCCCCACCCCCACCCATTTTGATTCCTGCTCCAGCCAAACTTTAAAATCAATTGCCTGGGAAGGGCAGCAGTATTTCTGTTCAGGCAGTGCTGTAGGGGTCCATTGACTTCATGGCTCATTATAATGCAACTGATTTCTCCAAATCCCTCATCATTCCACAAGTGTCTAATGACCTTCTCTCCTTTTTAATGGTGTTGATGTTCCATTGAGTTACCCTTTCTGCTGGTAGCCATTCCTACTAATTTCTCATTTATTTCACAACCTGCACACTGTTTTAGTTCTACCTCTAAACCTTAACTCAGGTATAGTAGTATTAACTCAGGTATAGAAATGACTTACAGTGAAGGATTGGAGATGTTGTCTGTGAAGAAATCCCCCTGTATCTGCCACTCGTTTGGGGGAAATCAAGTGACCTCTGTATCTTCTGGGTTTCTTCTTGGTACTGGCTGGTCAATCAGGTGACCTGGCCAGATAAAATTCTTAGGGGGAGGGGAGGGTCTCTCTCTTCCTCCAGCCAGCATTTTGAAAAGCTACAAGCAACATGCCTCCAGGTGCAACTTGGATGATTCTCTGTAAGGAAAGACCTGGAAACTAGTCAGAAGTCTAGAAATAAGTATAGGCAGTTGCATCTTAAAAGGATCAGTGCATCTAATACAGGGATTTCCAACCTTTTTGAATGTGGGGCCGGATCATGAACTTTTTATCACCCAGTGGGCCGGCCAAAGTACCCCTCCCCCATTAGGAAGCTGCTGAGGAGCTGGGGGAGGGACAAGGGGTTTCCCGTCACAGCACCTCAGGCCTCAGAAAACGGCTTCACGGGCCACGTGGCAGCCCACAGGCCGTATGTTGGATAAGCCTGATCTAATATCTGCAACTTACTTTTGTTTGCTCAAAGGGTATTCTGACTTCCATATTCTACACCCACCACCAATAAAGGTATCAGGTTACAGAGTGCCTGGCTATGGAGTACTGGGGAGAGGGTGGCCTTTTGCTCTCTTTGCTTGGGCAGCAAAATTGGGCTTGGTTTTCTATTTTCCTCTGGTACCAGATGCTATCTTTGGATGCTTTGGGCTGAAAGAAGCACCCCAAAATATTACTGTGGGCAAAGCACCCCCAAGGCTTGCAAGGTCTGTTTGCCCTGGGCTGTACAGAGCTCTACCAGAGACCAGTGCCTGTGTGGTGGCAGTGTTACCCCAGGTTTGTGGGTGTTCACCAGGAAGGGGGCCGGCTGGCAATAGGCTCCCCAGGGGAGACTCCTGAAGTGTGGTTTTGGGCCTGACACAGTGAGGCAAGTGGCTGTGTGTAGCAGTGCCCCCTACTGTGCCACCACACTGCCAAGATGCTCAAGGAGGCTAGATTTTGTTTTGTGAATCTGAATTAGAGATGTACATTTACCTCTAATCACTACGGCACTAAGGACACTATGTTTTTACCTAGTTTGTTGTGAATGTTTAAAATTTAATATAGAATCTAGGATTTCTTAGGGTGGTATTTTTACTGGACTAATTATGTAGTTGGGATAAAATTACACGTGCTTTTGGATGCAAGATGTTCTTTGTCAGGTCTGACAAAGAATGCCTTGCATTCAAAAGCTTAAGAGAGCACCCAAAGAAATCGTTGCCTCTCACATAATTTCCAGACTATCACAGCTACACCATCACTACACAAGACACATCACTAGACATCAGGAGGTGCTACTTCACTGTCAGGGCGGCTAGGATCTGGAACCAACTTCCAAGCAAAGTGGTGCTGGCTTCTACCTTGGGGGTCTTTAAGACAAGGCTAGACAATCACTTTGCTGGTGTTGTTTGACCCCAGTACTCTTTCCTGCCATGGCAGGGGGTCGGACTTGATGATCTGCTCAGGTCCCTTCCGACCCTACTAACTATGAAACAATCTAGCAAATCAATGCACATTCCAATAGTTATTTTGCTGTTTGCTTTGATCTTAAGCCAAGTAATATAGCGCTGCGCCCCTAGTGTATTAGTAAAGCTTCTGGTTTCTCTTTAACTGGAGAAAAAATATGTGTTGTGCCATATGTGATGATGTGATGTGATACCATATGTCAGAGGTTCCCAACCAGAGGGCCGTGGCCCAGTGCCAGGCTGCAAAGGGTTGGCGGTCGTGGCACTAGCCCCACTCCTGTAGGTCCCCACAGTGAGGGAGGAAGTGGAGCTGCTGGGGCCAGGACAGGTCCTGAACAGTGGGGTGGAGCGTGGGACGGAGCCGTGGCTCATCTGGCGGAGTGAGGGCAGCTCTCACCATTGCATGCACCCTGGGAAGGCATGGCAGGGAGCACATGCCCCCAGATCTGTCCATGGGGCAGGGTGGGGCGTGCTGGGGGCGGTACTGGGCTCTTCCCAGTGGTGGCTGGGCGGGTCTGTGCCCAGGGCAGGTGGTGACAGTGCTGGGAGTGGGGCTACAGGAGGGGCTGCAACCATTCCAAAATTCACTGTAGCCCCCCAACCCTGCCTCCCAGCTCAGCCCAGCCCAACCCAATGCCCTCACCAGGAACAAGCTGGCACTGCTCTGGCCCCAGCCTGCTCTGCCCTGCGCGCAGATCCTGGGGCACATGCCCCCAATGCCCTCCCAGGGTGCATGCAATGGTAGGAGCTGCCCCCGTGACCCTCAGGCGAGCTGCGGCTCTGTCCAGCACTCCATCCGGCTGTGCAGTGCCTGCCCCAGCCCCAGCAGCCCCGCTCCTTCACCACGGGGGCCTACAGGAGCAGGGCTACAAGGGAGGGCTGCAGCCACTTCAGAATTTGCCATAGTCCCCCGAACCCAACCTCTCAGTGCTGGTGCCGCTCACCCTCAGCACAGGCAAGCCCAGCCCAGCCCACAGACATAGCCCATCCTGCCCTGCATGCAGATCAGGACACATGTCCCCCATGCCCTCCCAGGGTGTGCGTAGTACCAGGAGCCGCCCGCCACCCGTGCTGCTCAGTCCTGCGCCCCACCCCAGCTGGGCAGCCCCTGCCCCAGCTGCACTCACTGCGAAATGTTGGCAAGTGGAAGACTATCTCTTGAACCACATGAGGTGGTGAGTGATGTGATTCATATTGTCAATCATATCAAAGCACATGCACTAAATTCACGTTTGTCTGCATCGCTATGCAAGGATATGGGTGCTGAACACAAGCAGCTTCTCCTGCATACAGAATATCATTGGCTATCTAGAGGGAAGGCCCTGACCAGAGTCTTTGAATTAAGAAAACAGTTGCAGATTTATCTTAGACAAAAAATCACCATTAGCTCTGCATTTCAATGACAAGAACTGGCTTGCTAAACTCACTTATTTGAGCAACATATTCACTGTACTGAATAAACTCAGCCTCTCAATGCAAGGGAGAATGGTATCTGTTTTTAAAATGGCAGATAAAATCACAGCCTTCAAAACCAAGCTGGAAACCTGGGGAAAACATGTGGATAGGGGAGTCTTTGACATGTTCCAGAATTTTGTAGATTTTTCAGAAGCTGTGAGACTTTTTGTACCAGTAGCACTGCTGCGGTGACTGGAAGGCTTTCTGGCTTCACGACCAGGGTAAAAGAAGTGGCGCCTGAATGTGAGTCTACCCACTGTGCAATTCACTGCGAAAAGCTGGCAATCTGAAGATTGCCTCTTGAAGTACGTGTGTTGAGTGACGCGATTCATATTGTCAATCATATCAAAGCACATGCACTGAATTCATGTTTGTCTGTATCG